TAGTTGTTTCTTGGGCTGAAATGGCAAGGGGAACCTGTTTCATAACTTCCCCCAAATTGTGTCTGGAGCTCAGCTCTGCATTGTCTAGTGGAGTAACCGTCGGCCACCGTGGCTCTTGAGCACTTGACCTGGGCTCGTCCAAGCTGAGCTGGGCCCTAAACACAATATACACATCCAATTTTAGACCTAACATAGAAAAAAGAATACAAAATATCTAATTAGTAGTTTTTATACTGATCACACATTGAAATAATACTATTTGGGATATATTGGGTCAAATAAAACATTATCAAAACCTATTTCATCTGTTCTTGTATTTTTTCAGTGTGGCTGTTAGGAATGTGAGGCTTGTCGTAGATCTGCTTGTGGGCAGTGCTGGGTGTCAGCCAACTGTCACGTTGAACACCTGGATGATGGAGAGTGTGTTAGAACCCATTCCATCTGCCAGGAAAGAAGCCTGAGGTTCTGTTCCGCTTGGTTTTTATCAGAAGTTTTGCTGTCAGTTAGTTGAGAATTTTCTTAGTTTAGTCAGAAAAGCTTAGAAAATGCAGGCTGTATGTAGCTAATAGAAGTTAATGAATACAGTGGATGTTTGTGACCCCACGTAAAGGAATTCTAATTTAACAATACAGTGAGAAATAACAGCCACGTTTACTGGTTAACTTCTGTAATGTTTGGTGAAGGCAGGAGACTTGGAAGCAGTTACGGGAAGAGAAAACATTGAGTTTGCAGGTGTCCCCCTTGGTGGTGAAGGGGGTTCCTGAGCACCCAGTGGCAGCACTTTCTTGAACCTATTTCAGGCTAAAAGCCTTGCACAGTTTGCATTTGTAGCTTTTCAATTGCCATGAGTTCTATGAATAGCCAACATGTTTGCTTACTCTCAGGTGTATTTTTAACAACAGTTAAAACCATTAAAATCAGGGCGCCTGGGTGGCTCAGTTGGTTAGGCGACTGCCTTCGGCTCAGGTCATGATCCTGGAGTCCCGGGATCGAGTCCCGCATCGGGCTCCCTGCTCGGCGGGGAGTCTGCTTCTCCCTCTGACCCTCCTCCCTCTCTTGCTCTCTGTCTCTCATTCTCTCTCTCTCAAATAAATGAATAGAATCTAAAAAAAAAAGAAAAAACAAAACCATTAAAATCAAATGATGTGCACATAGATACTTTACGTAATAAATAAGTCTTCACAAAACAAGGGAAGGGGGTTTTATATGAAACGTAAACCACAATTGAAAAGAAGTTGCTTGCTTGTTTTTGCTATTTTTAATTTTGTGATTGTCAAGATTTGTTCTATTTTTTCTGCAGGAATCCAGCCAATACCTTCTCAGGGAGGGAAGCTAGAGATAGCTGGCACTGTGGTTGGCCACTGGGCTGGGAGCAGACGGGGCCGTGGGGGCCGTGGGCCTTTCCCCCTACAGGTAGTTTCTGTTGGAGGACCAGCAAGAGGGTAAGTTCTGAAAATGTGTTTGTATTAATAAGAAAACAGCCTCTTCTTTCAATTATGACTTTACTAGGAACATTTTTATATCATTAGATACATTCTTTGATGTCCCTGTTTGTGGTTACAAAGGATTCCATTATATATAGTATTATGTAGTTGTTTTAACCATTATTAAATAATTATGCACACATTATTCAATTAACCGTTTTTCAATATTCAAAAAAAGTAACATTTTTGAAGTGTGTTGTTTCAAATTGAATGCACTGGATATGGACCAAAACCGTAAGATTGATTTCTTGGAATGTTGGGATAAATCCATGGTGTGACACAAGTCTACCGCATGAGATGGACGTCATTTTAAATGCCTTAGCTGTCTTAGCAGATTCAAGCCTGTGTGCTTCTGTCATCTTCTATCCATTCAGGCGTCCAAGGGGAGTTATTTCCACCCCGGTGATCAGAACGTTTGGAAGAGGTGGACGGTATTATGGCAGAGGCTATAAAAACCAGGGTGTGATTCAGGTAATCCGCAACTCGGGGCGGTGGCGCACTCCGAGGGCCCGGTCCTGCGGGCTCGTCCTTCGGTGCCTGGGTCTAGACGGGGAGTGCTGCGGTGTTTCTGTAGCTGTCGAGTGTGCATCTAACACAGTGGTGGCGCGAGGCGGGACCCCTCAGCCCAGGGGGGCCGCCGTTGTCACGGGTGCTGAAGAGTATGGTCTCCTGGTCACAGCTGCATGGGGGGTGTTCCAGGGCTGTCAGTGGCGTTTATGTTCTAAAACATTATTTAGGTAAATAGCAGTTAGGGTTTAAGAAGAAAACTGAAATCTTTTTCTTCTCCTGGACCACCTTGACTAGCTTGTGAGGGGACAGAGTCATGTACACGTCTCCGTGAAAAGAGCTGGAGTTTCGTCCCGCTTTAGAACCTGGATCCTGATGAATTTCCCCTTGAGAAGGATCTTTTAGAAATGCCAGTCAGTCTACCTCTTGAGTTACAACATTTAATCAAAGTGTGCATTTCTGTCCATGCTACACGTGCAAACCTCAGGACTCCTGGGACTCACATACTAATAACTCACGCACGGAAATTTAATTGGCCAAGAGAAACTAAAATGCCTGCCTTTACCAGCTGACCTCAGCATCTTAAAAACTTCTGTTTTGTTTGTTTGTTTGTTTTAAGATTTTTATTGTAGAGAGAGAGTGAGTCAGGGGGAGGGGCAGAGGGAGAGAAAATCTGAAGCAGACTCCCTGCTGAGCGTGGAGCCCGATGTGGGGCTGGATCTCAGGACCCATGAGATCATGACTTGAGCCGAAACCAAGAGTCAGACACTCAACCAACTGAGCCACCAGGCGCCCCAGAAACTTCTGTTTTGATGAAATCTAGTGAGTCAGGTACAAAGGCAGCCCCCTCCCTAGAAGCAGGGCCCAGTCTGCAGTGCAGCATCCCCCAGGGTGGGGGGTGGGCTCTGCTCACTTTGGCCCCCCAGCGTCACCTCGACCTTCCTCTGCTTTCAGAAACGCCCCTCTGAGCGGAAGGCACTCAGCCTCTGAATCAGGTTGACGAGAGGGAGGGGAAGCCGCCCTCACTGTGCTCCAACCCAGAGCCTGTCCTGTGCGGAAGGCCACGTGCTGCTGCCGGCCCTGCTGGCTACGGGGCCTTTGGTATAAAACACAGACACCAGAGCCACACAGGACAGCTGTGTGCCGTAGCTGCTTCTTTGTCTCCGTGGGGTGCTCATGTTCTTCAGAGTCCCTGGATCCGCTGGCTTCCCTCCCTCCCTGCTTGTTTCCTTCACTTTGTTGGAGGACGGATGACGCGGTGTGTCACCCACAGACTTCCTGAGTCTGGCCGGGTGTGTGCTGAGGGGGAGGCCCCCGTGACCCGGCCTCCTCTTTCTTGCATCCTGGGAGTGGGTCTGTCCCGGTGCCAAGGCTGAGGTGGACCTGTGTGCTTCTGTCGGGCTATGTGTCTGCGTGTCAGGACCTATTGTACTGATGTGCCATTGACCGGATCCATGCAGTCACTGGAAACTGCAAAAGGAAGACATTCTCGTTCCATCGTTTCTTTTTTTGTTATTATTGGGGTATTTTTATAAAGAGAAGCTTCTTCTCCTCGCCTCCTGTTTGGTACCTGAGTATGACAGCCCTTGCAGGACAGACACCTTGCCCACCCTGGCCGTGGGCCCTCGTGTGGCGTCTGGTCTGCGGCAGCTTCCTTTGCGGGTATCGCCTGGCCCAGCAGAACCACCACATTTCTCTTAGTTCCTTGGGCTCTTTAGTGGGAAATGGCATTTCAAGACCACAGTCTGGGTGCCCATGGACCCCGATGCCGTGGGGTCGGTCACTGTTCCTCGTGTTCTGTGTGCACACGCCTGGACACACAGTCCTGTTTCTTTGTGCAGAAACACACACATGACATGCGTGCTTTTTATTGCGTTTTTTTAAGATACAGTCCTCATGAATTCACACTGATGTTTATAATTTAAACCAAGGGCTTTTACTGTCACAGGACTTCTGTTGAATCTCTTCCTTTCCTCACACTGAATCACTGTTTCTGGACTTTTCCTGTGACCAGGGCTAGAGGAAGTACGTGAACTCGAATGTACCGTGTGCACACAGACACACGCGTGTGTATGCCGCTGCTTTTCTTCGGTGAAATACCTCAGTTTATATGGACTCTTCTAATTCAAATTTAAGACTTTGGAAATTTGACCTAAACTTTACTGTTGGTATCTATGTGTCTCTTCTTCCACCACGAGAACCCGGGCGTGATTGAGTTAGAGTGCCCCCGGACTTGTCATTGGCTTTGTCCCAGCTGCACGCACAGTGGCTCCGTCCCCCGGCGCTCGCATTTCTGACGGTAGCTGTGCTGTTACCGATTGCGTTGTCCCGGCACACAGCCTTGACCTGCTGCCGCACCGCGGCCTATCTGCCCGGCTTCTATGGAAGCGTGTCCTCTGTCCACCAGCGCTATCCCTCGAGGCTCTCCTCAGCACACTTCACAGGGAGGGCCCAGTGGAAACGAGGGCACGTTTGAGAGCATTTTGCTTTCCTAACAATCAAAAGCGGTGGTTCTTACCTCCCCTTCAGGTGTCTCATGCACGTTCTGTCATTTTCTTCTGTCATAAAGCTTTACGTCAAAGACTAATAATAAAAGAATTGTCTTTCCCTTGGAAGTCGTTGGGGTTTTGGCCCAAATGCCCAAATTGTTTTTGTTTCTCTGCCAAGGTTTAGTGATGCATCCCGCTGCTGGTCGTTCTGGGTTGGTGCTCTCAGCCACAACGTGCTCTTTCTAAACGCAGTTTCAGATCTTGTCTTACATCAGAAAGTTTTCTTGGACTACTGGTTTTTCATTGCTCTTGTTTTTCCTTCCCGGCTTTCATCTCTGGCACTCCTGTGGAGCTTGTCCTGTGTCTCTTGTTGGTGTTTGGCATGTTCTCCGCTCCCTGGGGGTCTTCTTTTGAGACAGAACTCACCTGCTTCATTCAGGTGGACAGCGCAGTCTGTTCTTACTGGTAGGCAGCAGCCCTGCTAATTCCCGAACATTCACCACCCCAAGAAGAAAGCCCTTACTCGGGAGCAGCCACGCCCCAGCCCCTGGCAGCCACGGGCCTGCTTTCCGTGGCCGTGCTCTGTGTGCGTGTCCCAGAAGTGCACTGTTGCAGCTCTAGCACGTCGCTCCGTTTGTTGCTGCGGACGCTCCACCGGGAGACGGGGCACATCTTGTGTATCCATTTATCAGCTGATGGACATTTAGGCTGTTTTCACTGTTTTGGCTGTTACGGGTGATGCTGCTGTGGGCATCTTTGTATAGGTTCGGGTTTTCCCCAGCTTTACTGAGATGTCAGCAGTATAGGTAGCATGGCATTAGTCCCAGGTGTACATATTGCAGAGTGATCGCCACAGTAAGTCTGGTTGACCTGCATCACCTCAAATAGTTACAAAAACGTATTTTCTTGTGATGAGAACTTTTGGTATCTCTCTTAGCAGCTTTCAGATACGCACTATTGTTCACTACAGCCTTTGCATGGACAGACGTCCCATTCCTCTGGGGGTGATTCCTGGGACCTGTGGGCATTCTGCATTCATGCACTTGAGGAACGGCCAGACTCTCTGCGGCGGCTGCACAGTTTTCCCTTCCCGCTAGCCACGCATGAGGGTCTGCGTTTCTCCGTGCCCTCGCCAGCGCCACTTACTGTCCATACTTGAGTTTAGCTGTCTGGCTGGGTATCTCATTGTGGTTTGACTTGCATTTCCGATTTTAAGCTTTTCTTCCTTTTTGCCATCTTCATGTATTACGATGTTCACTTGCTGTTGTGTTTCCCTAGTTGGGTCTTCGTTTCCGGCGCCGTCTTTGTTTCTGTTTTGGACCTCCCTTCCGTCTCCCACCTCCCCTCCGTCTCCCACCCCCCCTCCAGGCTTTCTTGGTCTGCTCCGTGCTGCTCCTCTGGGTCGGGTGCTGGAGCCGAGGCACGGCGGCCCGCAGGGGTGCGGTTCCTTCCCTGGTGTTCTTATGCTGTGTTCTGACAGCTCCACCTCGGTGCCTCCTGTTGCTCGTTTTTAGGTGGCATCAGTGTTCTTGCCCCTTGAGAAGCACAGATAGTGAAGGGCAGCTGGCCTGCGAGCGTCTGTGGCCTGTCTGTCTTGTTGGTGTTGCAGCCTCCCGGGAGGGTCGAGTATCAGTGGGCGGAGGAAGCAGTGCCACCCTGTGCTCGGGGTGCCCTTCGGGGGGGCATGTAGTGGCCAAGGCTTATGGGAAGACTTGGCTGTAGAAAGAGGGCACGTCTGTTTCTGAACAGGTGCAGTCAGCATTCCTGCTCCCTCCGCTGGCATTGTATGTACCTGCCCCCATGGTTTCCAGACAGTGACTGTGGGGAGCCCCCAGTCAGCCGGCCCCTGCCGCCGGCCCTGGCAACCCTGCTGCACGTGTCTCTCTAGTGGAAGTGGGCTTTTCCCTCAGAGAGTGAGGGCTCGGAGGTTGGAAAGCTTTGATGTTACCTTTTTCCCCGCTTTGCCCTCTTATACTTTTGTATTAATTATTTTTCTTAAGGTTCCAACAAAATGACAGTAGTATTGACTTGTGGAAAAGCTCACATTCGTATTTCTGAACTCTGATTGAACACTAAAGTGAGAAGACCCGTGGGAATGGAGCCCAGAGGGGAACCAACCCAGGAACCACCAGCATGCAAGATGGCGTGCCGGAGGCGAGGGCGACGGGCACCTCCAGCCCCACTTGGCTGAGCAGGGAGGGCCTTTTTTTCAACCAGGCAGACACCCTGATTTTCAGAGTAGGGAAGACTGGAGACCAGACACGCTGCCGTCTGGGGTTTAAAGGGAAGGAATGCAGAGCTGGGAGATCTGTAGGAGGCTTTCGGGTTCTGGGTCTCAGTTTCTTCACTGAAAGATGACCATTTGAAGGCAAAGACGATTAAGGTTTTCTTCGGCAATGTGTCTGCCTGACAGTGGTTCTCAGCCCTGGTGATGTCGCACCCCTGAGGGCCATTGGCTTATTTGGGGGACATTGTTGATCACCACAGCTCAACCTGCAGGCGCTTCTGGCTTCTAATGGGCAGAGGCCAGTGATGTCCACCACTCTGTAGCACACAAGACAGCCCATGGCAGAATGATCAGGTCCAAGATGTCACGGTGCCAGGCTGAGAAACCCATGGTATAAGATGTAAGCACCTGGAAGATCTCGGGCTGTCTTCCTTGTCTTTCAGGACATGAACTGAATCACTCTAAAAGTTCATCTTTTTCCAGAATTCCTTTTAAATCTGTTAAGAGGAGCAGAGAGACCCGTTCAGAAGAGATAAGTCACAAACATATGTGGCGATTATCAGCTTAGACTTATTTCTTGTTGGGTTGTTCAGAGAGGACTTAGGTTTGCCTCCATTTCCCAGTAGAAATGGGCCTCCCACAGACCGTGACAGGCAGACGTCTGTGTTAGTTGGTGAACATTTGGGGGAGTCGTAGTCTGAAATTTCAGAGAGGATTTATTGAGGGGCAGTGTTAAGGTAGAACTGGTACTACCCAGAAGGATTAGGTAGAGCTCAAGTGGGGCTCTCCTGCATGGCCAGGATATTAGCTACAGAGAAGTGGAGGGAAGGGGTCCCAGGATGAACCTGCTGAGACAAGCTCCTGCCAGTGGCAGCTCAGTCAGAAATAAGACAGAGTGTATTAGAGTGTAGACTATAGAGGCACAGACTAGAGAGAGTATGGAGTGTAGACTGTAGAGAATGTGCGTACACGAGAGTGAGGTACAGACCAGAGTAGGTAGGTGTATGTACTCTGCAGGTGCTAGAGAACATAGGCTCAGGTATAGAGTACATAGAGCATACAGACTATAAATCCATACAGGGTGCGGACTATGTAGACAGACTGTGGAGAACATAGACTGGAGTGTATGGAGAGAAGGGTAGAGAGAGTGCGCAGGTGCACAGGGAGTGTAGAGAGTACGGGCTGCGCAGCCCACAGAGTACGTAAGGGCAGCGAGTACACACCGTGAAGAGCACACCCATGCCGTGCATTCCGCTGTTGAATCTGAAGCAGGCGGTGTCAGCCCTTGGTAGGCATTCCTTCTCTCCCACTGTTTATCAAAGCTGCTTTATTGCTTGTTGTCCTTGATTTTGACCAGGGCAAGCCTCCTTATGCTGCTTCAGCGGAAGAAGTGGCCAAAGAACTGAAGTCAAGATCCGGGGAATCCAAGTCGTCCGCCGTGTCTTCAGATGGGTCCCTGGCTGAAAACGGAGCGGTGGCTGAGGAGAAGCCTGCTGCCCAGATGAACGGGAGCGCAGGCGACGCCAGGGCCCCCAGCCACTCGGAAAGTGCCTTGAACAATGACTCTAAGACGTGCAATACAAATCCTCACTTAAATGCACTAAGTACAGACAGTGCTTGCCGCAGAGCTGATGCTCTGGAGGCTGCTGTCTTAAAGAAAGAAGAGTAAACTTATTTTTTATAGAGGGTGAAGGATGCTGGAAGGGTAGGATTCAGGAATATCTGGAGAGAAAGAGAGCCTACAGTTATGTACATTTTTTCCTTTCCGTAAGAGAAAAATGAGGACTTTGGAAATTCGGATCCCTCTTTGATATCAGAGATTTAAACAACACATTTTTAGTTTTAACCAGTTGTAGTCAAAATGCTACAATAAAACAAAAAGAGAGAAAGAAAATGAAGAGCATTTGACTCCCACACTTAAAATGAAGTACACACACAGTTTAAACTGGTTATGACAAAAGCCTATAGTTGTGTTTCTTGAACTATAAAGAAAACAAATTTTGGCAGTCTTTAAGTATATATAGCTTAAAATATCATTTTTAGCATTTGGCACCATATGTATGCCATTATCTTTGATTTTGCATTACTGTTCACAAGAAAGCTTTGTCTAAGGCTTTGATTTTATGATTATGAAAGAAGTAAGGCACACCACGGTTTTTCTTTCTTACTTAAATCTCATCACTGTTGATGTGGTTCTTTTGTGTTAAAAAAAAAAGTGCAACTATCAAAACTAAAAAATTATAGAGTAATATTGCCGTTCTGCTGATTTTAAATATGCAGTACATCATACTTACTTTACAAGCAAGTTAAATGGAGATAAAGTTGAAATCATAGAAGATGCAAATGACCTTTCAAAATCAACACAATGTGTTCTGAAACTTTTCGTGACTTAATACCATGCATCTGTGATCAATGAACTATGTGGTTTTGATCGGACGTAGACCATTAGTGCTACTACTTGAGCTAACCTTCTGCATGGTTCATAATTTTTAAAGTGTGTAGTTAATATTATGCATGTTACTGTCCTTCCATTCTTACCAGTATGTGCCCATTTGCAAAACAAAATGCTAATAATCAGTAATAGTCCTATAAAAGATGTTAACTCTGTTTAGTCATTGACTGATCTTGCTCTAACCTTAAAATTTTGTGATTATTGACCTCTGTTGCATTTATTCTAAAAACCCCCCCAAAATTATCTAGCTGTTTCAAATATCAACATTACCCTGGTGTATTCACTGCTGTATGCATTATTGTTCTTTGTTGCTGTTTTATGCCTTCATATTAGCAAAATATGAAATTCTGTGAAAAACAAAAAAAAAAATCCCTTTGATCTTAAAAAAAAAAAACAAAAAAAACAACCTCCCCTTCTGTAGCAGGAAACAAATTGCTTGTTCTTGAGAACTTTCCCATCAAGAATTTAGTAGAAGCAGGTATACTTATATCATTTTGATGTTTTTGTTACTGTTTCCAAACAATGTACTTTGAAATCAGAATCACTTCTTATTCGTTTTCATATAATTCTCCTGATGCTCTTCATCACACATTAGTGATCAGAAATGAGATGTAATTCCCCAATCCCTGCCCGCGAGACCTGAGTAGGATCTTACTGTAAGTTGAAGGGAGTTCTGCCCTAACTCATGGATTGTGCAAGAATGAACTGCTGTTGGGTCTGACTGATTGTAGGTGGGTTGTGGAGTGCTGTACCGAAGGCTATTGAATGCAACTTACAATGCTTAATAAAAATCTTTATTCTTTTAGTATAAACACGGCGTGGCTTCCAGATTCCGCCGGGACCGCGGCGGGGGCGCCCGGGGTGGGGGGCCCAAGCCCCGCCGACGACACACACACCGGGCCGGTCCTCCGACCGCAGACTGGGGGCGCCCGGGGGCTCGGGGTGGGGTGGGGGTCCGAGCCCCGCTGACGACACACACCCCGGGGCCGGTCCTCGGACCGCAGACGGGGTGCGCCCGGGGGCTCGGGGTGGGGTGGGGGTCCGAGCCCCGCCGACGACACACACACCGGGCCGGTCCTCGGACCGCAGACTGGGGGCGCCCGGGGGCTCGGGGTGGGGTGGGGGTCCGAGCCCAGCTGACGACACACACCCCGGGCTGGTCCTCGGACCGCAGGCTCGGAGACCAAACAGAGCGCGCTGAGCGCTGCTGCTGCTAATGCCCACATCAGCCATCAGCGGGGCTCCCCCGCCGGCCCTGCCCACCCGCCACTGTGGCGTTTCCAGGGTCGCTCAGGCGACAGCGCCGGGGACGAGCCTGCCGCGGGTATCTGGGGGAAGCCAGCCACAACACCCGGGATTCGCAGAGGACCGGCGCGCTTCCGGCCTGCGCACGGGGGCGGGGCCTGAGCCGCTTCCGGCCTGTGCGCGGGCCGGGCCGCGAGCACTTCCGGCTTGTGCTCTGGATGGCGCTGAGGGGGGGCCGTGAGCACTTCCGGCCTGTGCTGGAGGCGGGACCGCGGGCGCTTCCGGCCTGTGCTCGGGGCGGGACCGCGAGCACTTCCGGCCTGTGCTCGGGACGGCGCGGGGCCGCGAGCTCTTCCGGCCTGTGCTCGGGGCGGGGCGGGCCGTGAGCTCTTCCGGTCTGTGCGCGGGACGGCGTGGGGCGGGGCCGTGAGCGCTTCCGGCCTGTGCTCGGGGCGGGGAGGCCTCCTCCCCAGCTGCACGGGCGCTGCGCGCGCACGGTCCCCGCCCCGCGGCCGGCCGCGCTGAGCGCCACAGCGGGCACCAGCGCCGGTGTGGGTGAGCGCGGCCTGCGAGGGCGCGGAGGCCCGCGGCCCGGCCGCTGCTCCGGGGCAAACCAAACACTCGTGCTGACCGTTTCTTGTTTTTGTAGAAAAGAACTTTTGTTGATCTTGTCTGTTTGAAAAGTAACACGTTTATTGTAGTAACTTCAAAGAGTGCAGCCAGACGGGAACAGAAATCACTCGTGACGCGCGCCTCTTGGCGCACCTGCGTCTGTCCTCCGCAGCCCACAGACGTCTGCGGGAACTTTACAGCGGACTCCAGCCCCCACGCACGCTTGGTGAGGGGTCTGCGCGCCCAGGATAGGCGTGTGTACCTGAGGCTGTATCAGATAAGAACACCACCGCGCCCGGCACGCGCCCCGCACCGCGCCCAGCACCACCGAGCCTAGCACCCAGCACCACCGCGCCCCGCGCTGCGCCCAGCACCACCGAGCCTAGCACCCAGCACCACCGCGCCC